AGACAAGGTGACACACACATGGAGACAGGAGGCAGGGTGACACACACACATGGAGACAGGAGGCAGGGTGACACACACATGGAGACAGGAGGCAGGGTGACACACACATGGAGACAGGAGACAGGGTGACACACACGTGGATACATGAGGCAGGGTGACACACACATGGAGACAGGAGACAGGGTGACACACATATGGAGACAGGAGGCAGGGTGACACACACATGGAGACAGGCAGCAGGGTGACACACCACGGACAGGTGTTGTCTAGCCACGCGGCCAGCATCAGCTTCTGCTTCATACACGCACAGATTCACGAGTGCTGCAGATTCAGGAGAACGAGTGGCTGCACGGCACGCCGCGCAGCATCCAGGCTCCGCTTGCAGGCTCAGTGCACTGCAGAGCCAAGCACAGAATGACACGGTATTTACACTGCAGCAGTGCACACATGGACCAGCTGAAGTGTGAATCACGACGGGAGGCCATGTAAGGCGAATACACAAATACTGCAGCTCTGTCACAACATCCTTTTTGATTTCTGCACGTCCCTACGGCAGTATGAGTTACGCGCACAAATCCATTGACATGTACATTTAAAATGTTTTTCTCCTTCGGGTGCCATTTAGCCTAACCAACAGTGATATAACTCCAGTCTTCTGAAGTTCTGAGTCTCAATATCTGCTGCAATGATGCATATATACAATTTCAATACACATATCGACGTAAAGCTAGATCAACCCACTTGTCAGTGACGCACAGCTTTAGTACACGTAACAATTTGTTTAGTGAAGCTACTATAAATGATTGAACGTTCAACGATGATCGAATTTTCATTAGGGACACATTTTGGTTATATTGATCTTGTCCGTCTATTGGGTTAATTTGTTACCATATCTGATATCAGTAACGTTTACAACAACGTGTCAACCTATGTTATATTATGCTAGATTTGCATTTACAAATATGGTTGACGCTTGGCGACAGTTTGGACGAAGATAATTACTATTAGTCAAATCGTTCTAGTGCGCAAACAAATAATGTACGTGAGTACATATCACAACAGCTGACAAAATCTATCTGAGCAATCTGCTCCAGTTCTATTCAAAAGCATAGTGACAGCGACAGCAGAACAACACCGTTGTAAAACACTTACATACATTGCCCAAGGCACTGTCTTAAAATGGAACCTACTAACATACACGTCGCAAACGTAGAACAAAATGTCACGAATGGTCCCTTAGTTCAAAAAGGTTGGTACGCCTAGTTGGGACAGATGTTTTCGTTGCCTGGTTATGAACTGGTAAGTACTGGCCTAATAGTAATAGTTACAACAGTCTAAATGGTACGATGTATTTCCGCGATCTAGTTTAGCTTTACAGACGAAACCTAAACTAGTAAAAACAGAAGGAAGCAGTCATGTAGATTGAAATCTGCACTAAAATTCCACTGAGCCACATCCCAGTTTCAAATGGAAATGGCGGGTTACTATATATACAGCTTATTCGGTGTACGGCTGATGTGTTTCACAGTAAAGAATGTTGTGTCAATAATCTTACAACATCTCGGCCAAGTCTGGAAATTTCAGTCAGTTCATGGACAAGGTAAATGTGAAAATGAAAGGCTATAATTCCAGACGAGAATGTAGAAAATGCAGCAGATTGGTTGAGCGGCTGCATTCACAAACTAGTTAGGCTGGCCAGCGGCATTAAAGGCCTGCCATTATTGTGACGTTTCAACTCAATGAAATCACTGATCCCTGAAAATTCCTAGATCCAAGTATAACAGCCAAGCTGTGCGTTTGAGTTAGAAAGGTTCAAGGCAGCAGTACGTGTAGGAATCCTACATATTCAGAATTACAGGGCATACTTGTGCATTTTAAAATTACAGTAATCACCACCATAAAGTAAAATCTGTATATATATATGTGTACTTTCCTCTAACCTTTCAATAAGTGCAATACCATTTTAAAACCAATCTTTTACCACTGGTACAGCTGTGGTAAGATATTGGTTTTATGGGTCGATTTGATGCATTTCAAGCCAGTATACCATATGTAGCACCACATCACCTATATATATATAAATTCAAATTAATTCAAATAAAAAAATTATTTTGAGACTATCTCTAAATTAATTATAGATTGTAAGCTAGTGATTTTTTTATAGAACAGGTTCTACAAGCACTGAAATCTATCTAGTAAAATGCTGGGTTGTAAGCATAGCATTATCTCATACTGACACCAGTAGTTTCAACTGGCCTCTAATCATGTCAATACTAAATCACATTATAAATTATAGACGCAGGGTGCGAAATTAACGGGAGTCCGGAATCAAATACTCCCTGATTTACTGTCGGACTCCCTGATTTGACATATATGCAGGAGTCCGTGTGACTCCCTGAAAATTCTGCCATACTAACTAGTTCGTTCCGGAGCACGGTCTCGCGGAATTACTGTATTTGTTCAGCTAATGTCCAAAGAAAATTTGGCAGACGTGCAACTGCATTAATCTTAAAAATAAGCACATGCGTTATTGTTAATATCTTTAATTTTGAACCTCAGACTGCGAACTCCCTCTTTTTGTCCAATCTTTTCCTGTGCCTTCATGTTTGATTGAAATCCAATAGTCTTCGTCCTCTATGCGTTTTATTTATCCTCATAACGTTTCACTCCAGAGTTACATAGATCTACTGATACATATATTCATGTCAAGATATGCGTCACACCCTGTAGTGTTGGTCGATAGAGATATTCACCAGTTATACGAAATCATCTCATCTTCATTTATATACTTATGCAACTGAAGTACATCCATGGTGTGCACTTTCATTCATAGTGCTATCTAGGGAAAATCCACATGAAGTGGTTGGAGCTTGTGGAAATTCTGAGCTAATATTGGAGATGAAAGGAGCAGGGAATTACTCAATTAGTCATTCTCTGTCACATACTATGTATGAGATACAGAGTAAGAACCTAGTGTGGTAGGTATTAGATTAGATACAAACAATTAGATACCTTCGCTGTGCCAAATACATATATACATTATACTACGATGCAAGAGCATTTGTAGTCTGTAATTTCATGCAATAATTATATTTTGAGAGTGAAAAGTGACAGAACGGTTTTAACACTATCTTTGTGAGACCAACAGTTTTGATAGATGATAGAACCTGATAGAAATTACATCTTGCATATTCTGTGCTCCATTAAAATTTAATATCTATATACTTTAACTAGACTCTTTATTTTTTTCAAGGTATTAGAAGCAAATAATGCAGTTGGACAAATCTGACAGTATGTTAACATGTTTTTGACCTCTATCTGCAGCCATTTCACTTGCACTGAAGGAGTAATTACGTTTATTGCTAATGTCACACATATCTTGAAATCTCACAAATGGTGGAAAATTACCCATTTATGGTGTTGCTTCTCTCAAGTTGGCTGTGAAGTTGTGAACTCATAAAAACACTGCAGGAAAGAGGCAATAAACCATTTTTGTAGTGTAGGAAGTATATATAGTGATGGCAGTAAGACCTTAAAAAAAGTTAAAATTAAGGTATATGTGGGTGCAGGAACTTTCTGGGTTTACAGTACTTTACTGCTGCTTCTACTACTGATGTACTATTGTTATGCCACTAGTTTTGTTTTCACTAAGTTGGACAAACACGTATGATTGTTTGAATAACACAACTACATTACTACTGTGACTTACTGTGTTAAAGTACGATTGTTTATGCTCTATTTTGCTACTAGTCGCACAGAATGTATCCAACAGGTATTGGTTTAATCAGCAGATTATTAGCAAAGAAAAATGTCAGAGTACCACAACAGCCACAATTGGATTGGGTTCCAATATAAATAATAATAAATAATGCAAGATATGGTTATAATGGTTTACTTATCTCTGCATACATTTACTTCCATGGAAACCATTCTGATAATAAATCCTTACACTGACAGACACTAGTAATCAACAAACAAACATTATAGCATTTTCAGAGTTATAAAATGCAACCCTTTAGCTCAATCCTACTTTGGGAGTTTGTTAGATAAATAATGATCATGGCCAACCTATATCCCTAATCCCACCATAATCACAAGGATGTCAGCGAAACTCAGGATCCTATAGTAACTCAACTTCTCAACCTACAATCTGTGCATCAGTAAATATGAAGTCACACATAATGTCTCCAGTCACACTCACAGTCACTCAGACTCACTGTGTAGTCGCTGTGGTGCAGTAACTTGCATCATGGCCTCAGTGTAGACTTACGATTTATTGTTTTGCTTACTTCCACAGTGGATTACACGGTGTGAAACTAATCAAAAATTTTAATAGTGACTGTTCGCACTAATAGTACTAATAGTAATACTAATAGTACTAATAGTACTAATAGTAATACTATAGTACCGTACTACTACTACTAGTATTACTAAAGCCGGGTAAAGCAAAGCCTAAGGAGCCGATCAGGCAATAATATAGCTCTAGTAGTAGTACTAGTAGTAGTAGTAGTAGTACTCACTAGTAGTACTAGTAGTAGTAGTAGTAGTAGTAGTAGTAGTAGTAGTAGTAGTAGTAGTAGTAG